CTGCACAATCGGGCCCACGCAGGCCCCACGCCCTCGGCACGACACCCCGGCCAGTCCCGCCCCCTCGTACGCCGCACTCCACTCCCGGAAGCAGTACACCCTCGTCTGCGACACGCTGAGCCTCCTGCTAGCCTCGTGCACGCAACACCCGGGCGTCCACGATGCGCCTAAGCCGGGTGCGAGCGTGAGGTTTGCATCCGTCTCGTGTCTGCGGTGGGGTGGCTTACTGAGAACTGGCCAAGGCGGGGAAGAACGCACCGCGAGGTACCGCATCCCCGTCTCCTTCGTATCATCTCCCACTTCCCCCACCCCACCCACGTTATCTCTTCCCCGATCCGAGTCCCAGCAGACGGCCAATACCAGCCTCGCGCGATGTTCGGGTCGAAACCGCCGGCGCGAACGAGCGAGCGAGCGCCTGCTCGCAGACTTGCAAGTAGGCGAGCACTCCGTCTGGACACTAGGGATAGCGCCGATGCCGGGGAGCGAGTGTCGACGGAGCGGGAGGACGGCGGGCTGGTGCTACGTGGCATGGGCGGATTAAAGAAAGGAGGGACGTCTCGCATTGCAAGATGGACCGACATGAAGACAGGGATGTAGATCTCCGGTATTCGAATATGGTGTACAGGGCGACGCGAGCAGGCGACCGACGGGCAGGTGGAATTTTATGCATTCGGAAAAATGGCATTGGGCGGAAAGTCAATGATCAAGGGCGAAACAAAGATGTGGTTCCTGAATGGGCGTTTCTGGCCAGGACCAAGGTTCATGAAATGAAGAAGATGCTGTGGCCTTGTGCGGCACGAAGAAATGGGAGGATGCAAGAGAGGACAGGAGAGTAAGCCAGAGATTTGGGGATGCGGTGATCCCAGCTGGACGGGAGTGGTCGGAGGCCTGAGACGAGTGAACGGGGACAAGAACTCGGAGATGTGCGCGGCGCGATGTAGCAGGCTGTAGCAGCAAATAGGGAAGACCGCTGCAGTGAGGCCGGCGGAGCAGTGGGATCTCTGAGCTTCGTCGAATCGTAGTATCATTGAAGAACGCGGCGACGGGCTGCGGTGCAGACCTCCGCACATATCTTAGATTCTTAGAGCGCGGGATGAAGGAAGGGATTCGGAATAGCTCCGGATCATTCGCGGTCCGGCGGCACGTGAAGCCGCCCAGATGCAAACTTGAACCGTGAGAGCACAAGAGCCGTAGAATTTACGTTACGGCTCCAGCGCGGCCCATTTGAGAGTAATGGACGATCCTGAAAAGCCAAATAAAGCGCACGAGTCTTACTTGGCTAAGGCCCGAATCGAACGGGGCTGTTGCTGAGCTGTTTCAGCTTTCAAGCTATATGAAATGCAGATGTGGACTACCACTGTAAGCCGTTGTTCGCTTCGAACTACCCTCCATTTAATATCCCAGCTCTATCTTGAATCAATTGTAGAACGGACCGCAAGGATAAAAAACGAGAATTTACCATGGCTTAGCCCGAATCGAACAGGTGGTTCTGCTCAAGGATACACCGCAGTTACTCCCTATAGGGTGCAGACGTGCACCCACTACCGGGCCGTACTGAGTGACTGCCTTGGATCTGACTATAAAAATGATTTTAACTGTCATGTTTCTGGGGACAGAGCAGAGAAAACCAGTAGCGGTTCATTCATAGCTCGGCCCCGAATCGAACAACTGTGTCCGTCCATGCGCTCCGGGCAGGAAATACAGATGTGGACCACCCACTGAGACTTTCTGCCTTCGACTTGCTCTTGCTCTTGTCTGCAATGTATTTCTGCTTGGTGTCAGTGGGAAATATTTGAATCAGCACATGGCATGGCAACACAGGCTTCACAACTTGGCAATGGAACGGCGCACGGGCAATCCCATGTCATGGCAGTCGCTCATGGTAGTCACCGATGGTGAGCGTGTAAACACTTTCTATTTCATGATTTTGGTAGGTACGAACTCCGTTTCACTCGCAGCGTAGGTCTTTAGCCGGTGGTGATGCAGAGGATGCGGACGGACGCGAACTCCTCGCTCGCGCTACAGACGATGGATGACAGTGAGCCTCTGAGCCTGCATACATACTCGCCCACTCACGTGAAGCACGACTTGGTAAGGGGAACTTCAGAAATAAAGCCGCCGGTGGTGCCGTCGCAGTTGGCTGGGATATATCAGTGCAGGCCTCAGGTACGCCTGGAATATGCTCTCACAGGTGGTGTACAGGCTGATTTGGCACCTGGCCGACGTTCCGGGAGTGACGTTGAGGGCGATGGCACCCGGCGTCGCCTTACAGAAAGCATCTTCGGGCACACCAGACCAGGTGTCGAGCGGTATGCCGGAGCAGCCGGCCGCGATGTAGGAAGAAACAGTCGGGACGGTCTGGGCGAGTGCGACGCTGGCGGCTGCGAGGAGGACGGCGATGAACTGCATGATGAATTGAGGTGGGTATGGGACGAAGATGAGGCTTTATATACGCGTTGCGTGTGGGCTCACGGTGAGCTCGCCAAGGTCCAACACCCGTTGTTTCAAATGTTTGGATTACCCGATTTCTCTTGTGTCCGGTCTTGATTGATCGGAATTCGACCATAGTGATTTCGGTTTGTGCATATTGAACCTCCCCCAAAAGCAGTCGCCCAGAAAGAGAGGCAGGAAAGAGGGAGAGCAGGAAAGAGACTCTGCGCCACTACAGGAAAAGGACGCAGTGCAAGGAAACAAGGACAGAAAGAAAGCAGAGGAATCGAGTCACGCGACCGGGTGGCGGGACTGTAAACCGTTAGCGAGGGTTGAGCAAGGATTCAAGGAAGGACGGATTGAGCGAATGGGGAACGAAAGAACGGATGAACGGACGAAGTGGAGTAAGTAGGCGAACGGCAGAATGGATGCTGAATGGAGGTCCGCCACGCACCAAAGCGAAGACGGAGGACGGATAGGCGGATGGCAGCCGCGCTGAGCCTAGCCCCTCCTAGCCCCCCTCGCCTGCCTAGAAAGAAAGGTAAAAAATAGAGGCGACCAGAAGAAACATTGTAACCAGACCGCCAGCAAAGAAAAGCAAGGACTTGCAGACAAAAGGAAGAGACCCCGCACTGTGCAAGAAGGAGAAAAAAGAGAGTAAAGTAATCGTAGGATGCTCGCACGCCAGGGTGGCATAAACAGCGCGAGCCCCAGGGACGTCCGAACGCTGGCCTGCAGATCCGGAATCGCGTGATACAGTGCGCGAAAGGGCCGCGGATGCCATCCGGCGTCGCGCGACTCGTGACGGGTAAGTACACGCAAGCGACATCCGGGACGTTGTCACTGGGCGCTAACTCGTCGGGAGCTCCAGGATTGATCATCAACCCCATGGCGCTGCGATGATTGGCTTCGCCGCCGTGCAGCGTCGCGAGGGGAACACGCCGTGGCATCTCTCGGTTAACGTTCATGCGTCGCTGCATCTGACACTCCGAGTCGTGTCCAGCTTCATCACGAGCTCAAACCCGGCGACGACCGCCGCTGCGAGATCCACGACGCGGAATCCTGGCCTCAGGCTCAGCGCCCCTTTGGTATGCGATACGCTGCGCCTCCTACTAGCATGCGCGTCACACCGAGGCACGCGGTGCCCCAGCCTTCCCGAGGCAAGGCTGAGGCATCCTGAGGCACGAGGTGAGCGTCCTTCGCGCGCTCAAATTTGCATCCTTCTCGTGTCTGCGGTGCGGTGACTAGCCTGAGCCTGAGCTCGTGAAGGCGGGAAAGGCAAGGATGGGAGAGCGTACCTCGATAAACACATCACCGTTCTCCTCCCCTCTCTCTGGCCCCATATCTCAACCATTGCGTCTCCTCGCCGCGCATCCGTCGACTCGTCCCACCACAGCGGCCCCACTCTCGCCGTTTATACCTCGCCTCCCACCCTCAATTTCAGCCGTGCCTCCGTATCAAGCCCACCCCACGCGAGCTCGCTCGCAGAAATTCTCCGGCCGGACGCTGGGGATAGCGCCTGGAGACGTGGCTGGGGGCTTCTGCGCACTGGGGAGGGAAGGCAATGAGAACACGAATGCGAATGGAAATGAAAATAGGACGAGGGAATCGGAGAGACGCGTGGTGTGCGACGAGCTGTTGTCCAGAGCCCGTAGCCCTCCACACACAGAGCGCGGAGGAGGGACTCGGCGGTCGGAATAGATCCGGATCATTCGCGGTCCGCCGGCACGTGAAGCCGCTCAGATGCAACTCGAACCGTGAGAGCACAAGAGCTGTAGAATTTATGGCTCCAGCGCAGCCTCATTTGACAGTGATTTTTTGTCCTACAAAGCAAAAAAAAAAAAAGGTGCACGAACGTTACATGACTCAGGCCTGAATCGAGCGGGGCTGCTTCTGCGTAGATTCAATTCAAACTCTCAACCAACTGGATGCGGATGTGGATCACCCACTACTAAGCCGGTCTTAGCCTAAATACCCCCGGTTTTAAATCCTTAATTCATTTCGAATCAATAACAACACTGACACTGACCACAGAGACAAAAACTTGAACATCCTCTTACATGGCACAGCCCCAAATCGAACAGATGGTTCTGTTGAAGGATACACCACAGTTACTCGCTATAGGGTGCAGACGTGAACCACCCACTACCGAGCCGTGACTACCCTGTAACTGCCCTTGATTCCGGCTACTAAGTTGGTTTAATTATCATCTTCCTGGGGACTGAGCAAAAAATGGAAACCCGTAGCATTTCATACCTGGCTGGGTCCCGAATCGAACAGGCGATGACCGTGCATGCCACCACCAAACCCTTCTTCCCTCTACCTGCTCTTGCCTTTATTACAATATCTGGTTGATTTTTCTTTGCTTAATAAACAACAAAACACGACCCGAATGTCATGGCTCAGTCCTGAATCGAACAGATTTCGGCTGAACTTTCAATTGAATCTATGGACCACCCACCACCGAGCTATTCTTATCCCTCAGATATCCCTGGTTTGCATACCAAAACTACATAATTGAAATCGGGTCTTGCGGAGCAAAATTCACAAGAGATTCTATACATGACTGCTGGCTCAGGCCCGAATCGAACGAGCGTTTTCTGCAAAGCCATGAAGTAGTCCCCGTGGACAATGGAAAGCAGACGTGGACCATCCGCCACCGAGCCTTCCTTATCCCCTAAGTAGCCCTGCTCCAACCTGCCGCCTCCACCACATTCTCCTTACGAGGATGGCATTTATTACAATATCTGGTTGATTTTTCTTTGCTTAATAAACAAAAAACACGACCCAAATGTCATGGCTCAGTCCTGAATCGAACGGGTTTCCGCTGAAAATTCCATGGAATCTATGGACCACCCACCACCGAGCCGTTCTTATCCCTCAGACACCCCTGGGTGATATATCAAATTATTATAATTGAAATTGGGTCTTGCTAAGTAAAAATCAAAAGAGATTCTATACATGGCTGATGGCTCAGGCCCGAATCGAACGAGCGTCTCCTGCTAAGCAATGGCATAGTCTCCGTGGATAATGGAAAGCAGACGTGGACCATCCACCACCGAGCCTTCCGTATCCCTTAAGTAGCCCTGCTGCAACCTGCCGCTCCCACCACATTCTCCTTACGAGGACGGCATCCCAACATCCGCCTATTCTACTGCATATCCCTCCCTTCCAATTGCCTGGCAACTCGGGGGTATTAAACCGATTCAAGAGCGGAAGAGGTACTAACTCGCGCTAGTTTTCTGTGGCTGACGGTGCGCTCTATCCTTTACTTTTGAGTTGCGAGTTCAAACGCTCACTCTTTCCTTCACGATACAATAGTTCTCTGCCCACCGACGGATGCCGTGAGTTTTCTAGTATCCCTATGTCGCGTCTCTGAACTATTAACACATCTACAGACTCTGCTTTCCCTCGTTTATGTATTTATTGTATCTCTCTGCGCGGAGTTCACGGTGGATGTCTACATCTCACCACTAGTTTCGAGCGAGAAGGCAACGAGTATGTTGTTGATAGAATAATCTACGCCACGAGGTTCAGTTGACGCTCTGGAAATTTGTGTCAGCTAAATTCTGCTGAACCCGTCCGGTCCGTCGGATGCAGGAAGAGGACGCCGGGATGAAACCGGCTAATGCTCTTACTCTCGCCGCCGATGCCCAGTCCCAAACGGAATGAATGGCCTGGTGGTATTTTCGGCAGCACGTGGAGTAGTGGACTCTGCCCGCATTCCACATCTAGGTCTCTGCTGAGTTACCGGAGAAGTCAATATTGAACGCTAAATGAATGTGAAGTACAAGACAAGTCGAACGGCGTGATATGCTCGTACTTCTTACTCTAGCTGTTGACTCTTGAATCTATCAAGCTTACAGGTGCACCAGGAAAGGTACAGTGCAACTGAATGCATCAGCCGCAAGAATGAATTACGTTCTGATCGGCGGGAACTGCGCGGGATGCCGACCTCCAATGGCGGATGAACATAAGCAATCATGGAAAAACATCCCCATGGTCTCGTAAGCTGGCTCTTGGATGATTCTTTCAGGCTGAAATATTTGTGGACCCGCAACAAAAATAAAATTTTGATGAACGTTTAGGTCGGAACTTGAAAGGTGCATTCCCCCTCCCGCGTTTCAGTAGGTATTCACGGTTCAATATCCCCATCGCTTCCCCCAGGTCTTGAGCTATAAAGGCCACCGCCTACACCCCGCTTTGACCAGTAAACTCTCGAAGCATTTACGACTACCTCACCCAACCATGCGCTCATTCATCAACATTAACGCTCTCGCCATGGCTGCCGTAGCCCTCACCGTGCTTTGCATGGCCCCTTCGAAAGCCAACGCAGACATCATCACGTACGCCGTCGACGAGTGCCACGGCGAAGCAAGCGTCGACTTCCCGTGCGACGGCATCTGCCGGAGCTTTGCCAATCGTCGTTCGTTCAAGGTATGTGCAGGGCTCAAAAACCTTCCGTTCTCGAGTACTCATTCTTACATCACTATTCACTAGGTTGACGTGCCCGGCGACCATTGCGTGACGATTTTCGAGGACGCGGTCTGCAAGACCCCGGTCGCCGCCTTCGGGAACCCGCCCGCGGCTGACGGTATCTGTATCGAAGTGTCGACCGGCACCCCACAGCAGAGCTTCACCTGCGTCGCAAACACCAACTGCAATAACTAAAGCAAGTCTTTCCCTTTGAATCTGTGAAGCGTACTCATACCTATACATTAATAGCCAGCTTCGAATACATATCCGCTCAACGTCGTTGGTGAGGAGAGTACTTTTTACTTTGTCCAAGACAGAAAACTCGCAGAAAACACATAAAAAAAACTGATTGTCTGTATCCAATGCCCAGAGAGTATGTAATCTAGTTTGTTGTGCCGGCCTGTAGTCTTGTGGATGTCAATTATCGTTTGTTGAGAACGGAGGTGGTTTAAGTCAAGTTTCGAATCCGCTGACCAGACACCCAAAAGGAGTCCACGCCATTTTCGTGACTTAGTAACTTCGCTTAATTTCGCGAAAGTTTGTGATTTTGATGGAAATCCGGGAAAGTTCGTGATTTTGATGAGCTTCTGTGAAAGTTCGTGAGTTATCTGTCAAGCGGCGCTCCTAGGCATATCACGGAGTGATGCGTGTCATCAACTTGCCGAGAGTGGCCGGTTAGGTTCCGGTTAGGGTTAGAGGTTAGCGGTTCGGGTTGGTTAGGGTTAGCGGTTAGCGGTTAGTGGTTAGGGTTAGTGGTTAGGGTTGGCAAGGTATCTATATTAAAAAATACGGAGAGACTTGAGTTGAAGAAAATGATGGCCGCGTTGATGGTTTGATTTTGTGTGGTTTGCAATCTCACGAACTTTCCCGGAAACTCGTCAATGTGACGAAGTTTCACGCCTTTCCATCAAAGTCACGAAACTTCGCAACTTTAAGCGAAGTTACTAAGTCACGAAGGTGGCTACGACTCACCCAAAAGGCCACAGTCAGCCGGGAAAGCACCCATCGACACTCGCCACCACTGCCACATTTTGCGGCCAAAACTGGTTTTTCCCTCCCTTGATTTCAAGGCCAAATGAGGAACACGCACTGGTGCGCATTTCCCCGCGCCACACCACGGAACAAGCCAATCTGATAGTGGAGTTCCGTATTGCTTGTAGTTCAAACACATTGCAGGTTTACGAACCGCGTCTCGCCGTTGCCTTTCAACATGCCTACTATCCAATAGCAGCCAACTTTGAATTCGCGAAATCTACATTTGAATTCGTTAGCTGAAGCTTTTTACTTTCACAACACAGAAAAACAAACAAAAAATTGTGAATCTCTGTACGCGATGCCGGGGGGGTAGTTTGTATTGCAGACTCCAGCAGGCCATCACTCAAGGTCACTAGGGTGCACAGACACGAATTCCCTGGGCTCAATCTGGCGGGGTGTGTGCGAATTTCTGCGATCTTCTGTGGGCTCGGGGCATGGAACATCGCCCTTGATCCTGATTTTGTCCCCGCGTTGACGCCTATGTGTAATTTTCTGCAGTGCTAACAACTGTGGCCATGCCTTTCCACCTCCATCATCTCCTCCCCAGCCATGTCCTTTGAAAACGCTTGCTTTGTGCAGATTCATGGTGGGAACCTTCATACTGTCGCCGGTGGCATGAACATAGAACGGCAATTCAATCGGCGCAGCATTGCAGGCAATCCGCAAAACTCAGTGGAGTGAACACCGGGGAGGTAGAGTTCAAGGAAATACGTCGGGTCAACAAGGAGAACAGAGCTGATCATGGATACACACCTGAAAACGAACTAGACATACAATGTTGGAAGAAGGCCTTGACATTCGCCAGGGACACGAGGAGGAGGAGGATATATTATACTGACGCGGTCCTACAATTGGAACTGCCAATTTACTACATATGAGATTGTAACTCTCATGATTTCTGGCGTATGGATGTTTGAACGCCGCCGCCGCTTGAAGCCTTGCTACTGTATGCTGCAATGCACGTATGTTTCAACCACCGACAGGCACCTGTTGCATTTGGTTTGAACCAACATGGGCAACGATGGCAACGAGCAGCCAACGAGAGACTTTGGGATTGCTTGGTGAGCGAAGTCGGTGCCAAGACTCAAGGATGATTCTAATGCGAAACCGGGTTTCGTATAATCCAAGACTCAACACGGCACGGATCACGACCCCATGGCGATGCCGGCAGACGGCGATCATATTTGATCAGCGCTCCCATAGCTTCACCACGACTATCGCAAGCAAGCCTGGACAGTCTACCACCTCACACTCAATCCTTCACCAGAATTAGCCCAATCATTCTGCGCGCTTGATAAGATGCCACGCTAACATCCTCGTAGCTCGTCCGCCGCTCGGCCCATGTCCTCCACATCTGCCGACCATAATATAATACATCCTCCCTACAACCACCATACGATGCGTCCACTAATTAAATCCTCTCCCAAGCCGTCAAGCAGCCGCCGGCCGTAACTGGGAAGGATTCGGCGCGGACCCCTTCCTCGCGGGCGTCGCAACCGCCGCAACTATTACGGGGTATCAGGGCGAGGGCGTAATCGCATGCGTCAAGCATTAGTGAGCACGCAATTTATTAGCTGCTCCGTCAATTCTATGTATATCTCTCCGTGGTCTTGATCCTGTGTGAATTCTCTTTGACCATCCTCCCGGGCGCGCGTTACGTTATCATCCCGTCGCAGTGCTTCACATCTCGCACATCGCGCTTATGCTCTGCTACCACCCTGCTCTTCCCCTCCGCTGCAGACTTGGTTCTCTGTGCTGACATCCATTTGCCAGTATCGCGAACGAGCAAGAACATTTCCGCGGCGGGTCGCAGGCGAAACAGGTCTCGAGCGCGAATGTGGATAATAAGACTATGTACGAGGTGTTCTCCCTCTTCCACCCGAGCTCTGCCGTCATTCGGCGATGCCCTTCCCGCTATAATCTGGCACCGCACCATCGCGGTGATCAACCGCTTCGCTGTCTGAAACGGCCTGACTTCACTGTCTGAAACGGCTTGCCGAAACACCGTACTGACTCCCCTCCGCAGCTTTACCTCTGAATCTGGCCCTTCGTCGAGGCCGTGCACGCGGGCGTCGGGAGCGTGATGTCCTCGTACAACAAGACCAACCAGACGCAGGCGTGCCAGAGCTCGAAGCTGATGAACGGCATGCTGAAGGAGGAGTTGGGGTTCCAGGGTGCGTTCTACATTCCTCAGGCTCCGTATATCTCCGCTTTCTGTGTTGCTGAGCTCTTCTCTCCATCTGGGATCCCTCCAATTCTTCCATCCCCAATTTGTCGCGGCACCGCGCGGATTATGCCGGATTTTCGCCCCTCGTTTCAAAGACGATGCCTCTTCGTACCTGCAATGCCAATCAATCCCTATCGATGCTGGCATCTGAATGATCCTTCGATATTGATTGACCGTCTTCCAGGTTTCGTCACTTCCAACTGGACCGCGATGGTCAACAGCATGCAGCCTGTCCGGCTTCGTTGGCTATGTGCGTGTTTCTCTCAGCGTCTCCGTCCTCGAGCGCCTTCCTTTCTACCACCCACCATTTCCGATTTCAACGACCTG